GGTGAAGATGCAGCCTCTGATCGGCATCTTGATGCATTAGTGATATGGAGATGGGACGGCTCGCATGGCGTTCAGCCAAGGTGTTACCAGGATGGCATTGTAGATTGCAGGTCGATCAATAACTTTGAATTTAACTGTAACAGTTTTTCCTTTAATGGTGACATGCATCGTTATAGTGTCGATCGTGGAGATTGAATCTCTGGCAAATCCGGTGAGAGGTGATGGTGCGATCATGATATCTCTTTCGGTGATGTTCATCTTTTGTAATGTGTCCATAAAGTTGAGGTCGACCGAGCTTCCTGTGTTGATTAAAGTCTTGGCAACATCGTCTTCTCTGAACCGGAGCAAGATGACGAGTGGGTCGTTGTGCGGTTGATCTATATTCTGTGCATCTTGCTCGGTAAATATGATCAGGAGGTCGTCTTTCAACAACGGTAGAGCGTCTTGTGGTGGATTAGCAGCTTTTTGCTTGTGTCGTTTAATTGAGTTGATGGAGTTAGTGCATGAGAGGAGTCCACCCATAATCATATTGATCCGTCGTCGAGGTGATGTCGGAGGTGTGTGGTCGTCCTCCCGATCTTGTTTTGCTTCCTTCCCTTCGCGCTTGATAGATGGGCGGTCAGCATCGGGTCTTCTATCTTGATCATTGTCATATCGTCGGTCTTGATTGTTGTCAGATCGTCGCGCTAGACTTCGCGGTTCTGGTATGGTGCACTCACCATCTTCCCACAATTTTCTAAAAAGTGTTGTGAGAGTGCGACAATCATCGGTGTGGTGGTCGTGTGCTTTATGGTATTTGCAGTACGGCTTCTTACTTTCGGGGTCCTTAGCACTCTGGCGATCCCAAGTGTTCCAGCTTGACTGTCGAGCGATGGCCTTGATGTTCTTGCGGCTTCTTTCGTCTTTGTCGTAGTGCTGCTGAGGCTCCTGATGGCTATGCTGATTTGACAATCGGGTTTTCTTATCACGTGTAGTTTTCTCATCGGCTAACTTTGCTTTAGCCGCCTTGTCTTCCTCGAGTCTGATGTAGTCGTTTGCCTTGTGCAAGGCATCTTCTAGGGTTTTCGTTTTACCAGTCTTCAACCTCTTGCAGTATGACTGGTCGTCTCTTAGATTTCTAATCAGGATGTTGAGAGAGAGATCGTCCGACAAGCTACATCGGGAGACTATGGACCGGAATCGATTGATGAAGTTGCGTAATGGTTCGGTACCTCCCAGGACGCAGGCCCATAAGTCTAGTGATGTGAACTCTGTGTTGATATAAATCGAGTAGTGCTTGAGAAAACGGCTCATGAGGTCTTTGTAGTTGTCGATTGAGTTTGGAGGAAGCTGTGAAAACCAGGTAAGGACGCTTCCCGAGAGCGTCTCCAAGAAATGTTGGCAGAGTCATGCGTCTCGCTATTCGTCTATAAAGCGAGCTCGTCCCATGATTGCACTGAACGCGGTCAAGTGGTGCTTCGGGTCGGTTGTTCCAGTGTAACTGGGAGGTAGCTTTATCCGTCCTATGTCCTTAAGAGGAGCTTTGGTGATGGCCGACGTGAACGGCGTCTGCTGCATCTGTTGAAGTATCTTATCCAGCTCTGGGGCGGAGGTCCTCCCCTTGTGAACCTTGGTATTTATGTCATCAAGGCGTTGATGGAGAAGATCAAGCTTGGAAGCTGTCGTCGGATAGGCTCCCCTGGTGTTTCGCGATGAACGGGGTTTAAAGCCTTCCACTTGTGCCCTCTGTAAATCGTATGTCGGTGTGGTGCTGAACAGGTTATTCAACAGCCTCGATGTTTCTGGGTTTCACTGTAGGTGGGTCGGCTGGTGTCGAGGCGTGATTAGGTCGGCCTGTTCTTGGGTATGAGCCCTGGTGTTGAGAAGCTGATCTAGGTCTTCTCGGTAAGCGATCTGTTCGGGGCGAATGGACTCGAACCGGGCATCCATGCCCTGTTATAGCTGGTTCTAGGGTCGTGCCTACGTTGAATAAATAGAAACATTGGCCTACGGCCCCATCTTCTAAAAACTATTGAAGTTTTTGATTTAATATTATCGAGTATTCTTTTCTTGTTGCCTCTAGCCTCTACTAATGTAGGCACGGCTCTGGCTGGTTCGCGACCGATCTGATGAGGCCAGCCATATCGATGGGAGGTGGCTGTGGCAGGTCGGTCTGGTTCATTCCACCAGTTTGGCCGACCTGGTCTGCCTAAAGGGTATTCCGCGCAGCAGCCGCATCGTCTGTCTGCAGATTGGTCTGGTCGACCACAGGGAGTCCAGTGATTGGGTCAACTATCGGGCCCTGAGTGTTGCTCCCGGTGGGATCGGTTGCTCCTCCGGCAAGGGTGGTGTTATCGGGATCGGTGGGTATTTCAACCATCTTTAAGCTCCGCTTCTCTTGTAAAGACTTAGTCTCTTACTCCCCACAAACGGCGCCAACTGTGATAACTCAAATCCGATCTAAAGATTAAACAAGAGTTTGTGGGTTTAAAGAGAGATCTTTATTAAGATTTATCCAAAGCTTGAGAGATACATGGTGGTTTAGGTCGTCGGAATAAGAACGCCGACCTAAACAGCTTATAGGAATAAAATCAAGAACTAGAACAATTAGATCACTTAATTAGCTTTAGGTCTCGAGAGTGGATTTTTTAGATGATTTGTGAAGCTGATAGCTTCCTATATTTATACCCGATCAAGTCGGTTTTCTGGAGATAACATCGTATATCTGAAATAGGAAAACTTCCTTGCTGATAAGACCAATCTTCCGACTTTTCCGGATTAGACCGATAAATGGAGATTTTCTTTTTATCTTGCCGACCTGAATATTCTCTGGGTTGCCAAAATGTGCCGACCAAAGTTCATGTCGGACTCTTAGAGATGGTACGAATCTCATCTCTAACAGTCGGGTTTACTTTCCAGCTAAACACATATCATCTTTCTTGCCCAAAAGTAAGATATCACATACACCGGAGGTTTACACATCGTATAGACGACACTAGTCTTGTGATAGCCTTAAAACCCATATACTGTGGAAGCTAGTCTCGGCTCAGTTACTCCCATTTTGGACTCGTCAGCCATACATAATATATCATAACAAATCTCTTAACATCATAACGTTAACTCATAATATTTTCATCAATCATCAAACATGATATCATCACATATCATCCAACATGTCATATTATATTATATCATATCATATCAAATCGAGATAATAAGTTATAATGAGCAATTAAAGAGGTTGTTGGTTTTTTATTTATTTTTTGAAAAGTGAAAGGTATTATTCAATCATGGATTTTAATAGAAATCAAATTGATTAACAATTTAATGTTATTCAACTTATGATTGTAAAATATGTCTTAAAATCCAGCGTTAATGAATTTCTTATTTGTTAATCATTTTAAAGTTTTATGCTATTCAATTAAGATTTTAAATACCATTAAATCAGTTTTATTCAAAAATCTTTATATATTAAAGTTATTTGAAATGAATTTTAATGGAGTTTTATGAGTAAATAATTAGAAACAAAATCTTAAGTAAACTGCAGAGGTTTTAGAATCCATACACATGAATTCTTAAAAACAACAATAGAATTTTAAATCTTAAAGATTATAAACTTATTGAATTGACTTTAAATCTATGATTGAATGATACTATAAGAAATCATGTATGTATCATTTATTTTATTTGTTAATATCATTTTTTTATTGATGTAAATTCAGCTATAGAAGTGATGATGCTAATCATTTATATCAATATTATTAATTAATGCAACTATTTTTATCATTTATATTAATTGATATTAATATATGTTATTTGTAATAAATGGTATTATTATTTGATTCAGTTAAAATAAATGATATTAATATTTACATCACTTAGAATAAAATCATTTAGAATAAAATCACTGAAACTATGTTAGATGTAAACCGTTTGATGAAACTGGTTCATATCTAATTTTGGGTTTAAGCCTAAAAAATCTACAAGTCCAAATAGATCTGATCCAAAAGACCTGATTTTTATTTTAACACTTTTGTACCAAAACCCAAATCTAATATTTTTCAGGACAAATTGGGTTAAACTTTGAGTTTTTACCCAAATTGACACTTCTAGACATAGTTTCATCAAAAAAAAAAAAGACATAGTTTCATCAAAAGTGAAAACTAACAATTCTAGTGAAATTGACAAAAAAAAAACAATCCAAAAAGAAAACATATCTAATTCATAAGAATCGTTGTGATGTTGTCAAATATTAGAAGTTTTTCAACCGTTGTTGTACGGAATGATATTGTCAATTTTTTATAAAGAAAAAACTACTCTCATAAAATATCAATGCAGCAAAAACCACATAGTTTCTTTTCTTTTGAATTTTGTTTATCAAATCTCTTTTGAATTTTAAGAAATGAAACAAAATGTTAAGAAAAAAATTTGATCTTGATTTTTTTGTTGATGTTTCATTTGGATTTGATTTTTTTAATGATATAGAAAAATGTGCATCTATTTTTAAACTATACTAACATATCGTCTAGTTTCGGATTAATCTGGACTGATCGCATTTCATTTTCTAAAATCAGCACTATACCGAGCTTGTATATAGATTCTGCCATTTTGGTTTTTTTTTTCTTGTTCTTCACTAATCTAATTTGAAAACATTAGTCGTTAAAGTTAATTAAATCAGCAAATTAAAAAGTCGTATTTTTCCACTAATTATATTATCGCTAAACAAGAAAGCAAAACTAGAACAATCTTCTAGTTTAATCAATGATCATATATCAGTTAATCAATCTTCTAGTTTAAACAATGATCATATATCATTAAAAGGAAGTACTAAAACACAATGCTGGAAACTTGTGAATCATCTAGAGAATTTGCCTTTAATTTCTAGGCTTTGACACAAACCATCTAAAATCTAATCGCCGTCACTAACCAGATGAGATAAATCGAACTTTCTAGCTTCTTCCCTCTATACAAAATATCTAGAATCAATCCTAATAAGATCTTCACCCTCGAATTCGAATTTTTCAAGCTCCGCCGTTGTTCATCATCCGCTTAAACTCCTCGAAATTAACGCAACCATCACCATCAGTATCGACTTTGCTAATCATCTTCCTGCAATCCTGAACCGAACACTTCTCACCGAGATTCTTCATCACCGAGTGAAGCTCTTTCGCCGAGATCCGTCCATTACCATCCAGATCGTAAAGCTCAAACGCCTCCTTCAGATCTCGAACATCGTTGTTTCCGTTTCCGGTTCCTCCTCCGCCTCCTCCTCCTTGATTCGCTCCGATCTGGAAAAGAGCGACGAATTCGTCCATGTCGATGAATCCGTTTCCGTCGAGATCGAACTGTTTCATCATCGTCACCGTTTCCTCCGGCGATGCGTTGGGGCTAAGCGCACGGATCACTTCCTTGAGCTCGTCGACGGAGATTTTTCCGTCTCCGTTCTTATCGAATCGCTCGAAAACTTTGCGGATATCGTCCATCGAACCTAAACAGCTACGAGATCCGTTCTTCGACATTGTTACAAAATGAGAATCTGAGAGAGAAGCTTGAAGAGTAAGAAATCAGTGTAACGAAGAGTGTGGTGGAGAAGAAGTTATGAAATCTATAAATAAGTGGAGGCGAGTGACGTAATAACGCGTTTTTTTTAAAACCGCGTCAAGATTGCGTGAGCTGGAGAGTGACTACAGTAGGCATCTGATACCCATTTTTATACCACATAAAATTAAAGTTTCCATTTTTAAAACTCCATACAAAAGAGACTTTATATACTTGCCATAATTTAATTAAATATTTAAGTGATGAAATCTTCCACATTTTAATTTTTTTACATTTTTATTTACTTATGAAGAAAAAAGTGAAATGAAATATATTAACATTACAATACTTGCTTGAAAAGTAAAATATGGCTAAAAAGGAAATATAGAAATAAAACAACAAGTAAAATTTTGGTGCATCTAAAAATCTATGTGGTTAATATTTAATGGATACTATGTATATAATTCGTGCTACGCACGAGTCTGTATTAATATTTTGGTTTATTTTTTTTAGCTATTATCTTTAAAATTATTAAAAATATAATATATTTATAGAAATTTTTATTTATATAAGAAAAATTAATATATAATATGTAATTTATCCTATTTTTATTTATGAACTTAAAAAAATTATTAGGTAAAATAATAACAATGACACCTATCAAATTATCTAACTTTGACGTACATATACATTTGATTTAGAGAAATATAATTTTGCTAAGATTTTGGTATTATTTTCTGTTTTCCATAGAATTTCTAAAGTTCTTTTTTTCTTCAAGGTTTATGTGTTCAAATATTTAGTTTTTTTATTAAAATTCTTATTGATGTTGTGTACCACTGCATATATAATCTATGATTCATGTTGATTTGCATTTAATTTTGTTAGGAAGTTGTAATGATCATGCAAAACTATTTTTTTCTTTTCCATCATGTCTTCTAAAAGTTCTATGTTATATTTTTATTCAGTTTTCATATCTAATAGTTAAATCGAGTTGTTGTGGATTTTTTTAAAATTGATAATTGATAATAGTTACTTTTTTTTATACATGTGTTGTTAATTGTTAATTTTTTTTATTTAACTTTTAAAATTTTAAAACATATCAATATTTTATGATTTTATAAATATGTTGATTTGGATCAATCAGATTGAATTTACTTTTTTTGTTGGACATAATTTGTTAAATTAACTTTTAATATTTTATTATACTTGATAATTTTTTTGGTTTGATTTAAAAGCTGATGTGGACCAATTAAATCAATTTTTTCCGTCATAATCATACTTAATATTTTTTTTATTTAATGAATATGCTTATGTGGACCAATCAGATTGAGTTTCTTAATCTCATGTGGACGTCCTCAATGCACTATGCCATCAACTTTTATATATTATACTAGGCTTTTAGCTCGCGCTATGCGCGAGTCTTTATTAATAATTTGGTTTAATTTTTTGGCTAATATCTTTTAAATTATCAAAACTATAATATATTTGTAGAAATTGTCTTTATATAAAAAAGATTAAAACATAATATGTAGTATTTCCTATTTTTATTTATAAAATTATAAATCTTATTAAGTAAAATCATAGTAATGACACCTAACGAATTATCCAACTTCGATGTGCATATGTTTGATTTAGAAAATGATTTCCTTACTAAATTTTTGGTGTTTTGTTTTGTATCCTTAGGATTTCTATGGTTCTTTTTTTATAAAAGATTTATATGTTTAAATATTTAGTTTCTTTACTAAATATCTCACTAATGTTGTGTACATATACATATATAATATATGATATATGTTAATTCAGATTTATTTTTGTTATATGATATATGTTAATTCAGATTTACTTTTGTTAGTAAGCTATACTAATCGTGTAAAGCTGCTTTTTGCTTCTCCACCAGATCTTCTACGAATTTTCGGTTATATCTTATTCAGTTTATAAAATATGTTTTATTTGCAGTCAACTATTTGCTAATATTTGTTTTTAAACATGTAAGATGATGTTGAGACTTCACATTATCACTGTTTTTTTTTATCTTTTGTGTGTTTATTCATGTTTTGATTTGAATATTTTATCTTCATATATTTTCATTTGAATTTGATTCATAACTTTGTCATATTATATTATTTAAATAAAATTTTAGAGGATGTTGCTCATGTGTTGTTCATGTTGACTAAGTTATAAGCAGTAAATATGTATACAAATCAGACTTTATTAATTATTATATTTTGAATGTAAAGTTACTTGTGTAGTATTTTACTTTGTTAATTTTTCAAACGCAACCAAAGTATTAATCTTTGTAAATTTAAATAATACGTTTGATTTAGAAATTTGTATAACCTATTAAAAACGTATATAGTTATTCATAGTCAACAGCAATATTTTAGAAATCATGAATGTTTTTAGAACTATATTTCAAACTAATTTTCTTCTTAGATCTTGTTTTTTGTTATTTTAAATATCTTCAATGAAAATTTTATATTTTATTTTAATTATCTAATTTTCTGCAGGTATGATATACTTAAAACATAAATATTTTTAATTAATCTCTTTTGTTATTGATTTTTCAAATAGATAGCATATATATTAATCTAATATCTTTTACATAAATGCTTTTTCTTTGTTAAATTTACTTTTTAAATTAAATAAAATTCTATTTTGACATGCTATAACTGGTTATTCTAAATTTTAAGTGAACTTCTCTCAAAAGCTTATACCATCATTTGCTTTTTTTTAGTTAATATTTGTTTGGTAGTTAACCTAAATATCAAGCTAATTTTACTTTATACGACTTTTTCCTTTGATAATTTACCTTTTTTGATATTGATTTTTATTTTATTTCAACATACCATTGTTTTTAAAATATTAATATTTTGAAGACATAAATTTTTTTTAGTTAAATATTTTTATATAAATTTTTTAAGTAGTTAGTCAGATATCAAGTCAATATATATTTAGGTGTTTTTTAAAAAAATAATATTTTTAAAAACTTAATTGTCGTTTTAGTTTTTTAGTTAATTAATTTCTTAATATTGATTTCTTAAATAATTAGCTTAAATATTTATATTATTTTTGTTAGTTAAGTTTTTTTAGTATTATTTAAGTTTTTTAATTCTCTTACTTATTCTGTTTATATTGATTTTGTTAAATAAATAACATAGATATTAAATTAATATATTCTTGTTTTGTTAATTTAACTTTATCGATATGGACTTTCATTTTAATTGTATTGACATGTTGTAAGAAATAATTTAGTTTTTGGTTTTTGTTAGTCAAACATTTTTTTATATTGCTTTCTTCAGAGCATAAAGTATCATTTTTGGTTTGTTAAGATTTTGTGTTAAGTTTTTAAATATTTCTCCAAAAATTATAAGGTATAGATGACTTTTTTTTTTGATAATCTAAGATGAATGTTTTCTGGTAGTATTGATATTTTTAAATATAAATTTTATATATTAATATAAAAATTTAATCTTAATATTTTTTCTAAATAAAGTACACATTTAAAATATATATGCTAAATGTTTTTTTTAATTTAACTTTTTCGTTATTGATTTAGATATTTGTTTTTGTTACTTTAGTTTTTGTGACAATGAGTTTCCATTTTATTTTCACAATATATTTAGACTTTTGACATAAATTTATTTTATTTAGATAATTTTGTATGTTTTAATTTATTTAAATTATAATAATATTTTTTATTTTTTATGTTTAATAAAAAACATTGATATAGACTAATGAGATTGATTATATATGTCATATGTGGACGCTCTCATTGGCCTAAAACATCAACATAGACCAAAACTAATATAGTTTAAGGTAGCAGCTCAGATTTTAATTTTTTGTCGTGTACCAATAGAATTGAATCTTTAAATCCTATGTGGACACCCTTAGAAGCATTTAGCATCAACTTTTATTAGTAATAGATATATAATGTGTAATTTATCCTATTTTTATTTATAAATTTAAAAAACTATTAGTTAAAATAGTAACAATGATACATATCGAATTATCCAACTTTGGCGTACATATACATTTGATTTAGAGAAATATAATATTGCTAAGATTTTGGTATTATTTTCTGTTTTCCATAGAATTTCTATAGTTTTTTTAAAAAGGATTGTGTGTTCAAATATTTAGTTTTTTTATTGAAAGTCTTATTGATGTTGTGTACCACTGTATATATAATTCATGATTCATGTTGATTCACATTTAATTTTGTTAGAAAGTTGTAATGATCATGCAAAACTATTTTTTCCTTCTTTATCATGTCTTCCAAAAGTTTTATGTTATATTTTTATTCAGTTTTTCATTGTTTTAATTGTTGAATCGAGTTGCTGTAGATTTTTTTTAATTGATAATTGATAATAGTTACTTTTTTATACATGTATTGTTAATTTTTAAATTTTTTATTTAACTTTTAAAATTTTAAACCATATTAACATTTGTGATTTAATAAATATGTTGATTTGGATCAATCTGATTGAATTTACTTTTTTTGTTGGACATAATTTGTTAAATTAACTTTTAATATTTTAATTATACTTAATAATTTTTGGTTTGATTTAAAAGCTGATGTGGACCAATTAAATCAAGTTTTCTATCCTAATCATACTTAACATTTTTTTATTTAATGAATATGCTGATATGGACCAATTAGATCGAGTTTTTTAATCTCATGTGGACGCCCTCAATGCACTATGCCTTCAACTTTTATATATTATATGATGATTTGGAAACGAATTTGCAAAGAACAAAGAACAATGAAATCCAACAAAAGATTGTAAATATAAATACGAGAATCTGTGAAAAAATAGAAAAAGGTAGAGATTTTGAAAGAATGAAAAAAAAAAGTTAGAAAATCTTAAACATGTATTGCAAATGTTGATGTGATACAAAAATGTATTAAATCTAAGATATAAAAAATGTACTAATTCTCTAGCTTCTGTATTGGATGCTTCTAAAGTGATCATTTTGATGTAAATATAATTGATATTTTTCGAATAATGTTTTACGTAATTATATATATATATATATTTTGACAGCTTTTCTTTTTGACAGCACATAATTATAATTAAAGATACTATAATCATATTATAATTAAAATCATGTAAAAAGTATTTATGAAATTGAGAGATTCTTTGTTCTCTTTCTCATCTCATCCCCACACGCCAATTTAGCGTGGCAATTGGCCAATTGGCCATGATGGCCCAATAAATACCCAACCTCGTGCTTTTTTACATGTGTCGTTTTCTTATTTGCCCACCATTAAATTTCAACTTCGTATCCAAAAAGAAACGAATATGACATTTGAAAAAGCACATTGACAAAAGCCAAAAAAACCACTTTATACCATTTTCTTTCTGTTGTCAAAAGGGAAAAAAGCACTTAATACCAAATTTGTTTCTTCCATGACCTATTTGTCATATGAAAGATTAAGAACTTGATTGGACGCGCATTTAGAGGCTGACACATAGTAATAGTTTTCAATCCAACTTAATTGTTTCCCCATTACACACACAAAAGTCACAAAAGTCACAAAACCAGAAAATCAAAAAACCAATAATAGTCTCAAATCTCAGTTTTTTAAAAGCCAATTTTGTAGACCAATCATGCAAATGTTCTTGGTTAAACTCCTACAAGCATTAAAAAAAAAGATAGTAAAAGGTCATCAACATCATCATCGACCTTTTCTTCGATCACTTAGCCATCATGATCTTGACAAACTCATCATAGTTAATCTGACCATCTCCATCAACATCAGCCTCACGGATCATCTCTTCGACTTCCTCGTCACTTAGCTTCTCTCCAAGGTTAGTCATCACATGGCGTAGCTCAGCAGCGGAGATGAAACCGTTCTGGTCTTTGTCGAAAACCCTAAATGCTTCTTTAAGCTCTTCCTCTGAGTCAGTGTCTTTCATCTTCTTAGCCATCAGGTTCAAGAACTCGGGGAAATCGATTGTTCCGTTTCCATCTGCATCAACCTCGTTGATCATGTCTTGAAGCTCAGCCTCTGTTGGGTTTTGCCCTAGTGAACGCATAACTGTTCCCAGCTCTTTGGTAGTGATGCAACCTGTGTAATCACAATCGAGAGAGAGAGATACAAAAGGGTCAATATAAGATCTTTCACAGGGAAAAGCAATGATACATGCAAAAGAGAAGCACATGAACCTGTTTTGCTTATCTCAATAGGAACATGTGAGAAAAAAAATCTACACACGATAGCACTTTCAGCTTCAAGAAATGTACATCTTAGATGAACAGAACAATCAAGAATAGTTTCCAAATCATTTATGGATAGAGATTTCACTGTTCCAAGTTGATTTATTCTTATTCTTTGATTTGAATGTTGAAAAGACAATAGAAACTCAGATACTTAGAGACTTCACGACGAAAGATCACTGAAAAAACACAATAGATGCAAACATACAACGCGAGAGATACTCTCTCTGTCACAATTGATCGCGAAAACACAGTTAATCAAATCGAAGCTTTAATGATTACAGGCGAGAGAAGGCGAATTCAGAGACCAAAGAAAGTTTCATGATCCAAAATGTACAAGACGGAAAAAAAAAAACCAGATCCAAGCTCACACAGATCGTCGAAGCAGGACATCAACGAGGCGATATAATCGATTTTAACAATAGACGAAAAGCGAAGAAACTGAAGAACGAAAAGCGAAAACAAATCCAACAAAACGACTCGGTCAAAGATCAAACACAGCAAATCAGAGAATATGAATGGGTCGATAAACACAGAATCTAAAGCGATTATCGACTCAGGGTCACATATAAGTCACTATATCATATATAAATCATCGATCGAAGACGAAACTGGAAAAGCGAGATCCAGCAATGTAATATACTAACGATCACAGAAAGAAATTGAAAAAAAAAGTGTAGACGAAGAGATTTAACCATCGCCATCTTTGTCGAAGAGGCTAAAGGCTTCCTTGAACTCGGAGATCTGCTCGTCTGTGAGTTGGTCCGCCATAGCTTCGTGGTTTTCCTGGAAATCGTCTTTCTTCTCCCTTCGCTGTTAATGTGTTTTGGATTCTGAGTCGTCTCTCTTTGGGAACTGTTACAAAAGAAATATCTAAGCAAAACGACAAAAGAATAATACGAAAAAAGGCGAAATGGTAAGAGAAAAAGCCAAGAGGGAGAAATGTTAATTTTTGGTAGTTTGGTACAGTTTTATTGGTCACTTAAATACCCTAAATCGGTTTAATCCGTTTAAATCTCCTCAAAACACTTTAACTGGGTCTAAAGCGTGGCCCATGTGCATAACACACAAAAAAAAGTCATGCCGGCCTAAGCTCGTATGAGGCCAGCGCGCTGTTCAATACTAAAATATTTAAACGACATGGTGTGTACGAATGCAATATTCTCCCACATCGGAAGTTTATGTCAAGTTGATGGGTTTCACGTGGCTATAAGTAAAGGGCCTTTCCTAATTATTACGTATCTTTGCGCTTGGGGCAATGACGCAGCTAATGAGGTACTAACCGAGGCGCGTCTATTGCTGGTTGAAAACTATTTCCAAACCCCCTCCTGGGCCTAAGATAGTCTTGGGCCTTCGAGAATTTCTGGAAGGGCTCCCTTCGGGGTAAAGCCCTACAACATTCAGTTCAATATTTTTTTGCTGAGTAAGCTCTTCTTGGGCCTTACTTATCACTAAACATTATCTGTTCGATTATTTGTTTGTACAGTCAAATTATATAATTCGGATTATAGTCACGGTTATACATTTTTTTTTTTTTTTGTGAACTTTTGAACCGGTTATACTTCGAAGCTTGCTAGTGATGTAAATCCATAAGTAGGATATCAATTTGGGCCAAAGCCCGAAGTTCGGCCCAGCCCGGTTCTGAAAAATATCGAATTTGGGTTTTGGTATAAAAATCCAAAAAATATCGAGCTTTTTGGGCTAAATCCATTTGGGCTTAAGTCCGAGAAAAACCCTGTACTTTATATTATAATTTTATTTAGAAATTTTTATTAATAAATTATCTTTATAATTTTAAAAAATTAGAGTTATTAATTTTTTTATAATACTCTTTATTAATATAAAATTTTAATTTTTAATTGTGTACTTTCATATAACATCAATGCTCAAACTAAACTAGTTTCAAGAAGCACTTCTACCTTCATCCTAAAGATTTTCATCTCGATTCTACCGTTTCTACTATTTACATTACTTATTTATTTAATTATATTTGATATTAGAATTTATATGAATTTATAAAAAAAATTTGGTGTGATATGAATTTATAAGTTAAAGTTTTGCTTTCAGATTTGATAAAACTATATTTATGATTAATTTTAAAATTTATTTTATTTTTCTAAAATGCTCGAAAAAATCTGAAAAAGCTCGATAACCCTGTACGGACAGGGCCGGACTTCAAAACATAGACTTGATATATTATCAGGCAGGCCAGATTAGACTTAAATATATGCGGGCATTTTAGGTTTTGGGCCGGGCCAGACCAGCCCGTTTGACATGCCTATCCATAAGCATTTGGTTTGTTATGGATCTTGATCTTGTTATATCGATTTTGGCACAAGCTTCGAACCGGGTTAGTAAGCACAGAAACGATTAAACGGTTGCTATCTTGTCGGTAACCGAGGCTTACTAAACCGATAGTTACCATTAGAATCAAAATGAGGCTAAAACCCAACCGGTAGAAAAGCAGCAAGTTAAAGCAACTTGTAATTGTTTTCCATTACACACAAAAGTCATAACCGAGAGGAAGTTACATTTTTAGAACCCACGACAGAGATACACAAACACATGAACCTGTTTTGCTTGTCTCTTAAGGAACATATGAGAAACAAATCTACACAAAAATAGCATTTTAAGCTTCAAGAACTGTAGATCTTGGATCAATAAGAAGATTCACAGATTCAAAGACCAAAATGAATAAATCATTCATGTATAGATCATCGATGTGTTTTCTACTAAGATCAGGGACACATATTTGCTTCTTTTTGTGTATGTTTCACCTTTCTCTTGGGATTATTCTCGCACAAGATCGGTGTGAGAAGTAACTCTAGGGAGGGTGTCTGTCATTTGCTGATCTATTTTGCATTTTGATGTTTTTCTTAAAATCATTTGTTTTTCTTGCATCATTTTTATGTTTTAATTCAATTTCATGTTTTTTTTTAATCATATGTGTGGGTGTTAAAAACCACACTCACATAATTGTAAAGTGTTTAATAAATTAGAGAGATGATGGATAAGAATTTATTCTAGAGCCAAAGAATTTAATCAAGAATAAAATAAATAGATTTTGTTTATGGAATCGGGAAATTATTTACAATAGATCGATAGTACAATAACTTGTAAAGTACAAATGAATAAAAATATGGGAGTTCGTAGAGCGTACAAGTTGTATATTAGGTAAAAACGAGAGCCTCTTCTTTCTGCCCATCTTACTCCTTTCATAACATTCTTTTAACTCCAACTGCTGCGTCAATCTTAGAGAATAGTTGTAACGAGCTCCGGATATCTCGAATGTCGTTGCTGGACCGAGCTTCGGATATGATGGGACTTCGCCTAGTCATGCTCGATCTAGTCTTGAAGAGTATCCTTAATTGACGGGAGCTCGTCATTTATTGAAGATACAAATGGACCATATGTCTGATGGGTCATTGCAGATGGGTTTCAAGTGACTGCTTAATGGGCTTTATAATGGGCCGAATTTAGTGCTAAATCTAGCTCCAACAGTTGCCCCTCAGCCCGTTAAGCGAGATACGAGCTTAATGGGTGGAAGACAAAATTTTAGGTATCATGACTTTCTTTAACTCAAAAATTCTAAATCTTAAAAAGATTTACTTTTGATCGTAACGAATGCGAAACTTTGATTAAGTATGAGTGAAGATTTTGCTTGAATGTGAGCTAGAGCTCAATCTTAAGCGCTTTGAATTTCATGTGAGTACGCACCCGAGCTTGGGTTGAGCAGAGATGAAAAACTCTTTAAGTGTGAGCTAAAGCTCGAACTTAGTTGTTCAAATTTTCCATAAATAAAAAAGAGAATTCGATATTAGTGTTGACGAGAGTCCGTTTGGTTACGAGCATGAGCTCGAACCGAGTTACTTTGAACGAAGACCGTAGGCCTAGATTCCAGATCCATATGTCAAACGATATATATAAAGCTTGAATCGATGAACTAGATTCTTTCTATATATCGAATAATCATAGAGATTTTAAGGAAAAGTAAAGATCATGACTGAACTCATGACGAGCTGTTTACGTACCCAATAAGGGATCAAGTCTAAACGTAGTTTGATTATAAGTATTTCGAAAGAGATGCGTTTGTGGGAAAATAACAGCTCATCGAGCTGTTTTTTTGCTAAACTCCGCGTGATCTGTTAGATCAAATATCTGTTTAACAAAGGGTTCTGGGTTTTTTACCAAATACATGACCATATTAGATTAAATGTATTGTGTTATCTTTGCTAGCTATCGAGAGCAAGAATTAGATTAGAGAAGAACTTTGTTTGCTGACTATCAAACGAAGTGAAGTAGATTAAGTAAAAGATAGAGATTCTGTTTACTTCTTTTTCTTCTTGGGGCGGTTTTTCTCTAAAAGCTTTTTTTTTATCTTCTTAAATAGATGACAAAGACATGAATGAGTCACTCCACTTTTCTTGTTAACATGTGGCCGAAGATCTTGGCAAATCAAAGGCAACCATCTTTGATGTAATCCTTTCTCTTGACTTAATCTCAATGTATAAACTTTGTGGATTTTTGTTTAATCGCTACAATTGGAAAACAATATGATATTGGGCCAATTAGATTGAATCTGCCCGAAAAGGAGTTCGTTCACTTGGAATCGAACATCAATTCACATCTTGTGTTTGGACGAGGTTCGTTCACTTGAAATCGAACATGAGTTCACATTTTATGTTTGGACGAGAGTTCGTCTGCTTATAGTTAAACAAAAATTTGGCTATTTTGCGTTTGAACTAGAGTTCGTTCACTTGGACTCGAGCATGAGCTTGCCTTTCATTTTTAACGGGAGTTTATTCACTTGAAATCAAACATGAGTCCGCCATTTTGCGTTTGAAAGAGAGTTTGTTCACTTGGAATCGAACATGAGTTCATCTTTTGTATTTGAACAGGATTTCGTTCACTTGGAATCAATCATGAGTTCGCCATTTTACATTTGAACGAGAGTTCGTTCACTTGGAGTCGAACATGAGTTCATCTTTTGTATTTGAACGGGAATTCGTTCACTTGGAATCGAATATGAGTTCATCTTTTTTGTGTGTTTGTTTGGCCAAGAGTATTTTTAGTTCGTGGTGTGTTTTGGTACTTGTTGCCTGGAAGGCTTTTTCTTTGATTTTTATCAAACTCGAATTTTAGCGACTTGATGTATCATGCATCCTTTGCTTATCCTGCTTCTTATTGCATTATTTGTTTTGTGACACAAAATATGGGTTTTGGTCGACCTTTTGGGTTAACTTTGAATTTGAGATTCATCCACTTATCTTTCCGATAATCCAAGAAAGTGACTGTCAGATTTTGGTGTGTTGACTTGTCACTTGCAGGCTGGTGCTCGCGCATATTTTCATATAATGCTCTGATCGATCTTGACGGGTTTCCGCTTGAGATATCTGAACTTTATCTTGTCGATTCGTCGTTATCGAGTGGGTGCTCGTGAATGTTTTAAAGTAAACGCTTTGGATGATTTTACGGACTTCTACTCGAGATAACTGAGATCGAGATGTTTCTTAGTTGATTTCATGTCATAGTGACCCGGTTGAGGTCTCACTGGGTTTCAGTTCTGCGCTTTCCCTTGATTGCAGACAAGGGTGCGACTTTGTTTGTTGTGCTTAAATGCGAGCGAGGGCTTGATCCGGTATTTATGCGAACGACTGGTTGAGACGTGTGTGAGATGAGCTTGTGAGTGTATTGTCTGGCCAGCCATAGTTTACTGGATCAATTGTAGATCCCGAGTACTTGTTTGCGTCTTAGTTTATCACAGATCGTTTAAAGAGATCGTGAGAGAAACTCGATAAGAGTTTGAGCCATTGAGACTGTTGGGTGAAATTTGATATGAATATTTAATGTTTCAG